ATTTTTGAGACGAAATACCCAAAAAGAAGTTTGTAAAAAATGAATCCGCCTCAACAATATAGAACTTATCTACAATAATGAAAAAGATAAAAACTAATAAGTCTACCAAATTTTAAATCAATCAAAACCAACAAAAAAGTTATTGCAAAAAATTAATTTGGAAAACTTTCACGTTACTTACCTCAACATGACAAGAAAATTTTAATCCTCCACTTACCAAAACAATTCGATTTGGATTCCTCAAATTTGGTGCTTTTTAGGGCTTAAGCGTCATTAATAACCATACTCTTAAATTACTGCTCAAGCCAGGAAGATAAACAGTAATAACGGCATTTTATGTGCGAATGTAACGGCAGAATTTATTTTTTATTTAATGTTTGAAATGCTGAAAAAATAATTATGTGAGTAAATAATTTTGGGATGTGAGGATAGCAAAATTTGATATGGAAATGGAAATGCTTTTTTTTTGAGACCTACATTTAAAAAAGAAGCTTTGTTTTCTAAACGTGTCAGATAATTTGAATTAAAATCGCTACAGTTTTTTGTTCACTTTAGTTTATTTGGACTATCTTTGAGAAATTGCTGAAATGAGCAAAAACCGGACAGAAAACATGAAATGTTGACATAATCTTGCACCTAAGTGTTTGATATTCAAATTTGAGGTGAGATAAGAAAAATTACTTAATTTAACTAAGTCGTTTCTGAAGTTGAAATTTGCGAAGCTTGCAATACAGTAATCAGTGATCAACACCGATTAATTCGTTTATTGTTATAACTGGACTACGTTCTTTTATTTAAAAAAAATGCAAGATTTAATGAGCACTGAACTAACAACTGAACTAATCCTAATATTCGACTGTTTCGACTGCTGACCACAAGGTGTGACCAATAGTTATAAGTAAATAATATGCCGTGCCCGCACATTTCACCATCCAGATTCTAAAATAATTCACGATTGAAAACAAGCACCTTGTAACTAAAAAATTTACATTAACAAAATAAGTGTGGCAGTAAATATGTTTTCTCTTAACTCTAGGCGTATAGAACTTTTGTCCTAATTTATTCATTTAATACTATCAGAGTCATTATCAGCATCTAATTAGACGGGCACTTCAAAAACTTTCTTTGGTTTGTGCAGTAGGGGTCAAAGTACAAATTTCGTAATTTGAGATTTCTACTTATTATGCCAACCTAATTGAATAAATGTCTGCTTCAAATTGTTGGACTTCACACCGTTCTGCTGAAATCATAAGAATGAAACCTACCGGTTGTTTTGCTTCTTTAACAGGTACTTAAATTAGCTAATTTGAAGAAAAAACAAATAGATGCTACTATGTTAGATGCGGAAGTGAAACATTATTCATCGGTATTCACTTTCTATGTTTGCTGAAAGTAACGTTGTGCAATAAGACATGAAAATGTATCACGAAACCTCATTTATCAAGCCAACTCTGTTACACTAAGATTATCCGCTAATATATACGTTACTATTGCAAACATTAGTGAACTAAATGTTTCACTGTTTTGGAACAGGATAATTCTTTCAGAGAATTGACACAAATTTTGAATCACTTTGTATATTTAAAAGTAAAACTAAAGTGCAGGTCAAAAAATTGATAACACATTTGCAGGAAAGTTCATATCCGACACTCAGTTTAATGATATGAGAAACGGTAAAACTTAAAGAGTTAATCTGTGGCTTGTTCTTTACTTTTCTTAATTTGGTTAATTTAGAGATGAAAAACACTTCAATTTTATGCGAATTCAGAATTCGCAGATATTTAAAAAAGAGCGAGAATTGCTGAAAAATTATTATGTTATCCTGACGTTAGTGAACCATTTTTTAAATTATAACCGGTCAAATTGTTATATTTTTCATAACTTCTAAATACATGTTGATGATTTCCAAATCAGCAAATACAAAATCGACGAGATTGCTAATGAAGGCACAACCACCTATGTGAACACTTTTTTCTAACTTTTTTTTGCAATTTTTTTTTTGCTAACCCATAAGCTGATCGTCCAATAGAAGAGAGAAGATGGTTCCAGAAATTGGTACTCATTCCAGCACCTCTGTTCGCCAAATATTTGCGCAAGTTTATGTATGTTGAATGCGAGTACGGAAGACATTAAAACGTCGGGGTTTAACGTTTACCTTGAACGAACAGAATTTGCAGCTGAATCATTGATAATTCTACGACAACTAGTTTAAAAAAAATTATTCACAATAGCCATTTAT